CAATTACACTAAATTTCACATGAGCTGTACTTCATCAAATCTGTCATCCACTAAAAAAATGCATCACTGTACTAAGTTTTTCACTAGTTTGGTAATTTCTAAAACTGGGAGGTTGAATTACAGGATATTGCTGGTTATGACCAAGAGTTAGAATTATGTTAATTACTGAAAATATTAATAACTCAAACTGGTGGAAATGTTTATTGGTTTTGGGTTCTGTTTTGGAGCATACTGTACTATATGGCTTTTAAGATGCACCTTTTAAAAAATCTTTATCGTCACAGTCATTGATGGAATACCATAATTTAATTGGTCACACTTTTCCCCTTGTTGCTGACTGCCGTTGAGTCGAGCACGACTCATAGTGACCCTATGAACAAAAGGCCCGAAGCTTTTCTATAACTATCATCATTTACCAAAGTTCATAGAGTTTCCAGTGGTATGTTATTTAGGAAGTGGATGCCACTCCTGCTTCCAAGAGTGCTTCTGGGAGCTCTGGTGGCCTCGTGCAAGAAGCTGTCCTGCAATCCCGAAGACACCCTGTTTGAGGCCACCAGCTGCTCCACGGGAGAAGGAGGGCTATCTTCTCCTGTGATTAATTGCCTCTGAAAACTCACTGGAGGGTCAGCTATGGGTTGGTTCCGACTCAAAGGTATACTTTTTTCCCCTTAGTAAACAATGATGCAAATTTTCAATGTATGATAGATTTGATGAAATACAGTTCATGTGAAATTTAATATAACTGGAAGCCTGGACATTTACATTATTCTAAACCAAATTAAAAAATAAGGATGTAAAGACCTAAACTTGTTTCCATCAACTTTTAATATCACAAGCCAAAAAGTCACTGAAAATGCCTATTTTCCACCCTACTCTGTGTCAGATGTTCTTAAATGTTGCTGCACATTCCAATCATTTGAAGTGTGTGAAAAATACTGATGCTTGGGCCCTGTCCTAGAGCTTCTTATTTAGTGGGGCCAAGCTGCCACTTGGTCATTGGGTATTTACAAATTCTCCAGGTGATCTGTATGTACTTCAAAGTTTGTGAAGCTGTGCTCGCTTCGGCAGCACATATACTAAAATTGGAACGATACAGAGAAGATTAGCATGGCCCCTGCACAAAGTTTGTGAAGCTGTACTCATTTTAATCCTTTTTGTTTCATTTTCTTTCCTTAGTGTAAATTTTCACTCTTAACACTTTGTTTTATAACATCAATTTGAATTGATTGATTAATTACAATGTTTCATCAAACCCTTATTGTATTTTGCCTTTCCCTGTTTCCAAGGTCCCTTTCCCCACCCCTAAGTCTAGAATCACTCTGCTGCCAGATGGATTCAGATTCCCTTGCCTAAACCCAAATCCTTTGCAGGGTGCACAAGCCTCTTCCTGACTTGGCCACCACTAAGTTTCCTAGCCATCCCTCCCTACAGACACCCAGGGTTACCGAGACACGAAGTGGCTCCAGTTCCAGAAAACACCACACCACTCTCGTTTTTTTATTATCTTGGCATCCTGGGCTCCCTCTGCCTCCATCTGTCATCACTGAGCAAATTACTACTTACTGTTTTCAGCAAAGGCTTCCCCGTGGCCCTTTCTCCAACTGTCTCTTTCCTGCTAAGAAAAATCTATATCCCTTCTCTATTCTCCTTTGCATCACCACAGCAATCTGCAATAACATACAGCGAGTCCACACAAAATAGTATTGACACTGTGAATTCCTTGAAACTGGGTCTGCATTTCTGCATTGCAACAATCTTTTCATTTCTGGCACTCAGAGCAGGTTCCTCCAGTTTTATGTTTTAAGTTAATGAATGGCAACATTCACGACTGTAGGGCATACACCTAATTGTTGTTGTTGTTAGGTGCTATCTGGAAGAGTATGACCTACAGCAACTTTATGAACAACAGATCTGAACCCTGCTCTATCCTGTGACATTCTTATCATCTCTGAAATACTTGCGCCTATTGCTAAAGTCACTGTGTCAATCCATCTGGTTGAGGATCTTTCTTTTGCCGATCCTCCATTTTTTCAAGCTTGATATCACTTTCCAAGGATTAGCCTATCTGAGCAACATGTTGCAAAGCAGATGAGATGAAGCTTTATCACCTCTGCCTCCAAGGAGCACTCTGGCTGCACCTTCCAGGCAGGCAGCTGTCCTCCAAATTTCCTGGCATGGACTTGTGAGCATGTCCAGGGCTACGTCTGTTAGTTGAAACATATCAGTTGACATCCCATCGATTTCTGAGGCCTTATTTTTTGCCAATGTCTTCAGTGCTGCTTGAACTTCTTCCTTCATTACTATTGACTCTTGATCATATAGTACTTCCTGAAATATTTCACTGTCAGCCAGTTCTTTTTGATACAATGAGTCTGTATATTTCCTCAATCTGCTTTGATGCTTCCTGGGTCATTCAAGATTTTTCCCTATAATCTCTAAGTATTGCGAATTGAGGCTTGATTTATTTTTTAGTTCTCTCAGCTTGAGAAATGCAGAGCTAGTTCTTCCCTTTCTATTTTCCAATTCCAGCTCCCTGCACATTCCATTATAATACTTTGTTTTGCCTTCTTGAGCTGCCCTTTGAAATAATTTCTCCAGCTCTTTTTCTTCAGAATCACTTGCCTTTGTTTTGGCTTCTTGATACTCTATTGCAATTTTCAGGATCTCTTCTGACATCTTTTTTTTTTCTTTCTCCTCTGCCTTTGCACTCTTCATGGAAGATATCCTTGATGTCATCACACAAGTCCTCTGGCCTTTCATGAGTGGTGCTGGATGCTTCAAATCTATTCTCTTTTTGTTTTAATTTTTTTTTTCAAATATATTCTTAAGATGGTTTTTAAATTCAGGTGCAATATACTTAAGATCATATTTTGGGGGAAAAAAGATCATATTTTGGTTCTCATGGACTTGTTTTCATTTTCTTCAGCCTTAATTTGAGCTTGCATGCAAGTAATTGATGGTCTGTTCCACAATCTGCACCTGGCCTGGTTTTTACTGCTGATATTGAGCTTCTCCTGCGATTCCTTCCACAGATGTAGTCAGATTTCTATGCAGCCCATCTGTTGAGGTCCATATGTAAAGTCACTGTTAGTGTTGGTTTGGTTTTGTTTTTTTAAAAAGGTATTTGTGATGAATAAATAATTGAATGTACAAAATTAGATCATTCTATTTCTGGCCTCATTTCAGTCACCAAGTCTGTTCTTTTCGACTACCATTCCTCCTTCAGTTTCCAGCTTTTGAATTCTGGTTGTCAATTATCATTAACACATTGATGCATGTTTGATCAATTTTGGACCGTAAGATTTAATAAAAATCTTCAATTTACTGCTCTTTGGCTTTAGCTGTTGGTGCATATATTTGGATAATAGCAGTATTAACAGGTCTTCCTTGTATGTGTATGGATAATATCTTATCACTCACACGTTGTCCTTCAGGATAAAACTTGAAATTGTCTTTATAACTATGAATACACCACCATTCTCACTTTTTCATTCCCAGCCTAGAGTACTATATGATTGTCTGATTCAAAGTGGCCAAAGACAGTCCATCTCATCTCACCAAGGCCTAGAATGTCAAAGTTCATGCAATTCAATGTCATTTTTCACAATTTCCAGTTTTCTAACTTCATACTTCATGCATCCCAAGTTCCAACTATTATTAAAGGATATTTGCAGCTGTTTCTGCTCATTTTTATTGACTTCTAATCTGGG